AGTGTACAACTCCATCTATGGAGTGAGGGTTTCTCCACAGGCTACTTCTCCATTCTAGGTATGCTGGGGCGCCCCTGCTTACAAAAATGTTAGATTGATGAGTGGGCATATGATGACACCAGGCGTCTCCAGCAACAAAGAAAGGCTGGCATTTATACCCTGACGCGGGCGTCCCAGGCCTCCGGTCGCAGCCTCACTTCCGCTTCCTGACTCTCTCTCTGAAGGTTTTCCCAACCCTTCTGGACTGTTCTTCAGCTCCCGCACACACACATCCTAGCCAGACTGGCACTTGGGGCAGGCCCCTGAACAGGCCCCACGCTTCTATGGCGTCTTTGTGTGCTCTGCGTACCCAGCGAGCACACATTGGCCCACAGCGACCGCCGAGAGGGCACCGGAGGCTACAAGTATGTGGGCTGCAGCTGAGCAAAGGGATGTGTTGACTTTCCACCCTGAACTACAACTTGACCTGCAGCGAAAACAAAAACACAGCGATGTGTATTTTTTTCCCAGAAACGATAATTATAGTACTCCAAACTTCAACTACCAAAATGGAAAAGCTACTTCAAAAAATAATTTATTAAATGGGCACTTATATTCATGGGAGCCCTTACATGGAAGTTATGCTCTTTCTTTTCCCCCTCATCTCTTTGTAACTATTAAAGGGCTAGGCTCCTGACTCAAAGCTATCTTTTGGGGTGTGTGTGTGTGTGTGTGTGTGTGTGTGTGTGTGTGTGTGTGTGTGTGTGTGTGTGTGAATAGTCCTCTCATGCATCACAGTTAATATATGTCTTTTAAAATATCCTTTCCCATTTAAAACATACCAACAATTTAAGAATCGCAGCTTCGGTACCAAACAAGAGGAGGTGCAGTGTCCGGAATCCTCCAGGCACAGCTCAAGCACCCTGACCTATTTTAATGCTTCCTCGCTTCCTCACTTGGTCCTTCCATACTGGACAAGCTCCTCCTGAACTTAGGGTTCTCACCGGGGCACTTACTGGGGCTCATGCTGGGGTATTCCGGAAGGCTTTCAGCCCAGAGTCACCCATGGGTTTGGTCTGCAGTGGGGCTGACGGAGGACTGTGGCAACAGACTTTGAGGCTCCCTTGCTGGAGCACATCTGCCGGGAGACACTGTCTCTTAGAAACTATTTTCCTCCCTCCCGGGGCACGTGCTCACGGTCTTGTCTGCCTGCCTGCCCCTCCAACACCTGTAGAGGGGCTGGCGCTGGGTGTTGGAGGGCATGCTCGATGGACTGAAGAGAGGTCCCATCCCATCTGATACTCTTCTAAATGGCACAGCAACCCATATCCTCCTGGCACATCACTCCTAAAGAAAAGCAAGACCGAGGGCAAACTGGCTTTCTAGCTCACAGCTGCGGCTACAGTGAACGGTACACCAGCTTCAGTGCTTGTGACTCTCAAATTTGCCAAAGGACATCCACAGACAAATCTAGCCAGAATGAAAAGACAAGATCATTTGTAATGAACTAAAATATACAAACTCACACTTCTCTAGATGGGAAGTTGTATGTATTTGCTAGGGGCTTGACACTGAAAACTAACTTCACAAATGCTTTGAGAAAGAATTCCACAAAGTGCTAGGAACCTAGGTTCCTTTTACCTTTTTGCTTCTCAACCAATACTATGTAGCCCTGGTCCATACAGCATTCTAAACAGAGTGGCAAATGGGGAAGGGAAACACAGTAACTTTAGGTAGCAAGATTCAAACTTTTTACATAATTACTTCTGCTAACTTTATAGACCAGGGCTTAGGCACATGTCCTCACCCACTTGCAAGAGTGTGGGAAATGTCATCTTTAATCTGTGTAACCAAACCTCAAGTGACAGATTTCCATTTCTATAAGACAATGAGAATGGGCACATGGATCCCAGCAGGATCAACCAGATCTCCTGGCAACAAGTCCCAACAGAAATTTGTCATTTGGACAGTTGCTGTATCTTGTCCTTTTGTTTTGAGACAAGGTCTCACTATGTAGCCCTGACTGTCCTGGAACTCTGTGTAAATCAGGCTGGCCTTGAACTCAACAAGGATTGGTCTGCCTCTCCCTTTCCTACTGTTGGAAGTAAAGGCATGTGCCACTACACCAGGCTTATCTTTTTTTTTTTAGTTTTTTGAGACAGGGTTTCTCTGTGTAGCTTTGGAGCCTATCCTGGCACTCTCTCTGTAGACCAGGCTGGCCTCAAACTCACTGAGATCCACCTGCCTCTGCCTCCTGAGTGCTGGGATTAAAGGCGTGCACCACCAACGCCTGGCTTTATCTTGTGCTTTTTAAGAGCAAAAGTAAACAAATCATTTTGAAGAACTGCTTGAGAAATACTCAAACTGAACATAAGCTCTCCACCTACTTGTTAAGGGTACCTAGAAAACTCGTTTTCTGATGATTAACTACCACGCAATACACCACAGTTAAGTTGGGTATTTTAGCCAAAATGAGATGAATGAGATGAACTTGCCATCAGTGGGCCTAGATTTCTTGTGAAATACTCTATAAATCACAATTTAACAAATCAATTTAACCCTGTGATTACAGTATGAAAAAAGGATGTGGGCTGCAGATCTGAAGATTTAATAATGGATGGATTCGTATTTGTTTGTAAATAAAGATGTGGGGATGGCTCTGTCCTCAGGACTTCATTGCTAAAAGTAAACTAGTCTTCATCAGAAATTCTTGGATATTTATGAAGAAAACAGCAGTTTAGAAAGCCAATGACCTATTAAAGGGTCACTTAGCTAATGGCCCGAAGCCAAGTCCCCCAGGGAATCCTCTACTGATTTTACCAAGACACGGTGATTCATCATCACCCTAAACTCCTTGGCCTTCAGTCTGCAGCTAGCATCCCCCCCCCCAGTTATTCAAATCTCTCATATAATACTTAAGACCACTTAGAATCTAGTGTAAACAAGACCGTAAAGCTCCTTCATCATCAAGCCAGATAAACATAACAAACTGAGCCGCAACAAAAAAGACGACACTTCATGGTATGGCTGAGGAAGGGCAAAAGAGCAACCTCTAGACTTGCCGGTTGTGGTGTGGTCCACTAGTCAGCTGCCGGCAGGCTGCCCCACCCCAACAGAACAAGGGCCTCATCCTCGTGAGGCTTGCAAACACAAACGCTAGGAATAATGCAAAGGAAGGCTTGCTGAGATGGGAGTCCGGATGATCCTTCTTGAGACTCCAGCTCAAGGGACACCGCTCCCATGAAAAACTCTCTCTGAAGCTGCCTTATGGCAAGGGCGTTTAATGCTCTGGCACATCCCCTGACCCCTTGGGAACAGAAAGCCTGGGCAGAGGTAAGCAGAAACTGTAGCTAGGTGAACTGACTGCGCCAGCTGGGGAGACGGTAGGAGGACTCATGTAACAGTCATCTCTCCGTTCTGGAGTCTTGGTTTGGTGTGGTAACCACCTCTGAACGCATTCCTGTGTGCAGAGTCCCTGCTCCTGCCTCCTCTTAGTCAGGCAACACCGCCCTCATTTAGGTGGGCTCCTGGATTTTATGGTGGGCCTGAAGTCATCTCCTTGAGAGGACTGACAGGCTATCTTGACCCAAAGCAAATGCTTCTGCAACAGCTATCCTATGCTCTGTGCAGACCTCAGGCCTAGTGAGTGAGGGACATACAGCCAACCTTCCTCCTGCGCCCCCACCATGACCATGCGCTCTGCCATTTCCTACTATTTCTTTTATTTACGGGCTCTCTCATTCTCGGGGTTATCATATTTTAGGTTTTAAGTCTGACATCATGTCTATCTACTTTTTGTTCCCATTGTAACTGCAAACAGAAAAATTTGCCTTCAAGAGGAAAAGTAATATATATATAGAGAGAGAGAAAGGAAAAGCAATATAAGAGAGGCTTTGGAAAAATGATGTGGAAGAAAAGAGAGGATAGGAGGGAGGGAGGGAGGGAGGGAGGGAGGGAGGGAGGGAGGGGAGTAGGAGAAGCAGAGGGGAAGAAGGGAGAAGAAGAGGGGTAGGAGGCATTGGGAGGGATACAGGCAGGGGATAACCCCAGAGAAGGTTTCTCTGGGGATGCTGGGGCTTAGTGGCACAGTGTATTTCCTAACAGACTCACAAGCTCCCTTTTCTGCTTGACTCACTGCCTGGCCAGGCTCAGGAGCTCTGGGATTTACACCGCCTTTTCTTTGACTCCTGGTTCTACTTGGAGATGGTGGTTCTTCAGTCTTCCCCATGCAAGAGACTTCCTCCTTGGCGGCTAACGGAGTCCCATCAGTCAGACACTCTGTTTGGAAAATGGGCACAAAATCTGCTACCCATGACTCTTGGCATACACTGGGGGTGGGATTTCATCTGACATTTTTGAAGCCTTGCAACAGGTTTGAGATCTGTCGAACAGCCCTCAAGATTAATGGTGGTATTAAAAAACAGTTCCTATGATTGCTGGACCTCCTCCACATAAGCAATGACAATAGAGGAGATGCAGGGTTTCCCAAAGAAGTCCTGTGGTTACTCCATAAAGGGCCTAATTGGTGCACCACACCACAGACTACAACTGCCCTAGAGAGTGCAATTTGATTCTGGCCGGCATGCTCTGGGGGCCTTTCCAGAAACTGCTCTCCTTGGTTTGTTATACATGCGTTTCAGTGACTCAAACTACTGCCAAACACAAGCATAACAGGATTTTAATTAGTCCCAGATTTCGGCTTTCAGATTACACAAAAAACCCAAACCGGATCACTTTCTGGGACCCGTTATTTCTCTTCACCCACAACGTCGGCTCTCAGCGCTGACTATTTCATCAAGAAGAACCTTTGACCGTTCTTGACTTCCTACGTGTGTGATAATGAGCTAAAAACAACTGGGCTGCCGGCTTGTCACTGGGCAAAGGCTGCACTCCCGCACAGCTGCTGCGGAGCACATCTGATTCAAATTACAAAGCACTACACTCTATGCATCTCCTGGGTCAGTGTGTCATGAATAACTGAATTTGTGAGTGCTAAATCAATGGACAGCGAGGGTTCACTGTACTGTTTTCTGTGCAACACAGTTTTAATAAATCATGTTTGTTCCTCTTTTGCCATAACTTATCATCTAACTACAATACCCACTACCCAATTAAGAATGCACCAGAAGGCTCCACCTCAGCAGGGGAGAATGTAGGCTCCAATACTGTAGCACTAGCAAGCCTCCTTTAAAAGTTATTATCACATTTATTCATGCGGGTGTGCGGGTGCATGCCAGGCATGCTTATCAAGGTCAGAGGACAGCTTGAGGGAGTTGGTCCTGTCCTTCCAGCACGTCTTTCCAGGGACTGAGCTCAGGCTGCCAGGTTTGCTGGCAAACTTCTTTACCGGGAAGACCATCTCTCTCGCGGCCATGCACCTCCTTTTAAATTAGAGACAGATTATCAATCAGCAATGCCAAGAGCACTTAAGCCTTCATTACGCCACTGTAAGAAAGCAATAGTAAGAAAAGGATCTTTCATATTGAAAAACAACTTAGACTAACCTCTAGTCATGACTTATTACAAACAAGAAATTCAAGATTAACTGGACAGAAATGACATGTAAAGCTGCTCAGGTTGTTCAAGTAATACATACACCACATACAGCCTCTCTCAGTGCTTCTAATTCAGCCGCTTGTGAAAACTGCCCAGAGCCACTCCCTGACACTTTTTTAGTTTCCGAAACAGTTGTGGTCTTACGTCGCTGCTTCATCCAACCCCTAGCTGACAATTTTTGAGGCTAGAGGCCACAGCACAGGCTTAGGAGTGCTCATCACCTAACTCCTCATCCACACTCACCCTCTTGGCCAAACTACCAATCTACCTAACATTTAGTGAGCATGAGCCCATTCTATCTAGGTACACTGAGGGATCTGGAGACACAAAGTGGAACATCACGGTCCTGACCTCAACAGCTTGCTGGTCATCAAGCAAAGGCCAATTCCCCAGCAAAATATCTCTATTTCTGTCTGCATCAAAGTCTACTTTCTTTCTCTAGCCCTTTTCTTGTGGATTCTTCAATACACCTATTTTTAAATGCACACAATACATCACTATTTATAGTTACATCATGGAAAATCATGACCAGAGCGATGTATTTCTATGAAACTGGGACCTGAGTTTTGTAAGAGCGAGTGTCTCTGACACTTAAACATAACATCTAGACAAGGAGGGCAGGTCGCTAATGAGCTGCTATAGTCCTTACAATTTTCTCTCTCACCTCCTTCCCATTATTCTATCTTCCTGCCTGGCTCCTTCTTTCCACAGATAATTGAGTGCCTGATTGTGCTGTGAGCACTGATGTCTAGGAAGAACATCCCCTAGCCTCAGTTTTCAAGAAACGTCTGATTCTCCTTGTCTATCTCTCTGTCTGTCGCTGTCACTCACTTTTGCTCTCTCTCTCTCTCTCTGTCTCTGTCTCTCTGTCTCTCTGTCTCTGTCTCTCTCTCTCTCTCACACACACACACACACACACACACACACACACGGGTGGACATATGTGGGGGAACACACGTGTGCCATTTCAAGTACACAGAGGGTCAGAGGGCACCTTGGGTGTTGACCCTCACCTTCCACCTTGTATGAGCAGGGGTCTCTCTGTTCACTGTTATGTGACAGCTGGCTTGGGGGCATCTGGGATTCTCCTGTCTCCATCTCACTGCAGGAGTCCTAGGATTATAGATACATGCCACCATGCCCAGCTTTATGTGGGTTTGGGGGACCTGAACTTAGGGTCCACTTAAACCACTGAGTCATCTCCCCGGCCCTTGAGAAGTTTCTTATAGTAACACCTGGCATGCAAATAACTATTGATAGTTATAATTTTATCACTAACTGTTGACTTCCAAATACTTACAAAAAGCTAGGGATCTCTTTATATCACAGAACCACATCAACAATGCAAACTCTACAGAATCAAAGGATACAAGGGGAAAAAAAGATTCCCATAATTTATTACACTAACTGGACATAGTCAGCCTAGAGCATTAAAATACATACATACTACGTTCACAAGGCCTCTTGTCTAACTGCATTAACAATCTTGGGAAGTCTGTGCTGGTAAACAGCTGGGTACTCATGAGTACTCTCTTACTCTAGAAATGTCTGCACAGTGAGTTGAACATTACTACAGCAGTGCACGGCAACCATATTGACTTTGCTAACAAAGGAATGTTATAAAATTGACACTAGGCTTAGCCAGCAAAGGAGAGGGTGTGTCTCAAATATACTTGACTTTATGAGTTTCTCATGGCTTTCCCGGTCCAGCGTGGTTATTTTAAATAATGAAAAGAATGCCCTACCAGAAGCCCGGTGGGACCATGCGGCGTGAGAAGAGTGGGAGGGATGATGCTTATGACTTAGTAGGTCACTGTTCACTATAGTTCTGCAAGCAAACTGCCTGCATCCAGCTGTCATTTCAAGAGCACTGCGCAGTGCAGTGAAGAGAATTCTAACGCAATCCCAAGCCTGACATAAACAACTGGATCTCGCAAGTCTGAGAAGACTAATCAATGAAGGCAATTAAATTGCCTCCTTCCCCACACGGCCTACATCTCGCCACACCAACTCCTACATGCTTATGGACTCCTCAGAAAGAAGGTAAAGCAGGCTTTGCTGGTACAGTGTCTCCATTCCCAGCCTCAGGTTTGACTTATTTAAGGGGACCAAGGAAGTGTGCCTGCCACCAGAAGACAATGGGCTGGAGGCAGCCACTGTTGGCTCCAACACCTGTTCCTCCTCAGCAGTAACAGGCCCTGCAACAAACCAGCACTCCCAAAGCCTCACGTCACAGAGACGCAGAGGGCATCGTTAAACCTGGGTCCCTAACTCAGGAAGCTGACTTCTACAGAGTTCTACAAAAGTCATCCCAGGAATCACGTCACTCACAAAACGAAGTCTCGGTGTTGTAAGCGCCTCCTACAATAATGCAATGCTCCCACGATGCTCCCTCTTGCAACGGTGAACTGACCCGCTAACCGACTTGTGTATCTGAAGGGAGGCAGTGAATCAACTACACACTCAACACTGGCAGTGACTGGCAGTGACACCCAACAACACAGCTACCAGGACCCCATGGCCTTGGATATTGAGGATTTTGATCAGCACTTAAAAATTCAGTTATGCGCACGGGGTGGGGAGGTGGTGTTGTTTACCTTTTGTCTTAGGGTTTCTATTGCTGTGAAAACACACCATGCTCACAGCAACGCTTATAAAGGAAACCATTTAACTGGGGCTGGCTTACGGTTTCAGAGGTTTAGTCCATTTCCATCGTGGTGGGAAGCATGGTGGCATTCAGGCAGACACAGCGCTTGCTGGGGCTAAGAGTTCCGACATCTTGATTCACAGGCAACAAGAGGTGATCTATGTGCCACATTGTGTATAAACCGAGCAGAGGAGACCTCAAAGTCCACTTCCTCCAACACGGCCACACCCACTCCTACTAAGCCACACCTCCTAACAGTGCCCTCCCCTTTGCGGGGTACGTTTTCTTTCAAACCAGCACTCCTGTGCAGCATGTCTCAATAGGAACTTCTAATGGCAAAGGCACATGCCCCCACCTCAGCGATCAACTAACATCCACAGTGAAGGCTGAGCGTGACGAAAGTACTCTAAAGCTATTTTTGAATCAAATAGTATTAATTACACATGATGGATGACATATGACCAAACGGAAGGGACAAAGCCCCTATGGAACACCAAAGAATCTCTGCATGTCATTCTTCAGTCGCCTCAGGGAGGCCTATGGCTATTCCCATTCTGCCACTCCACAGCGCTTTCCTCTAATGCCCCTCTGACATTTTCCTTTACAGTAGTTCACGAGATGTACAATAAAAAAGGAAAAAAATCACTCTCCGTGCCTAGCAGTTTGAATTTACATTTCAACAAAAATACAATTCCCCAAAGTGCTTACCTATGTTATTAAGCAGGTATGACTCCATATGCCTTTTGGCTGTTTCCCAAAATAAAAACCCAACTTCCGAAGGCATTCAGAAGAAAAGTGCCTCAAACACCTTAAGCCACTATAGATGATTAAAAACAGAAAAAGGAAGGGGAGGGGAGGAGAGGACCAAGTACAGGAACCGAGTATCAGGGTGCATCATGCAAAATTCCCAAATAACCAAGAAAAATGTTATCTTGGGGAAAAGTAGTCCCCAACAGCCAGAGTGCAGACCATACGCGTCCCCTCAAGACGGGCCCCTAGAGTGGAGCCACTGAGTAAGTGGAGCCTTGGGAAAGGGGTTTTGTGGCAGGCTCTATCTCTGGGACAAGGTGTCTGAATGGGACTGAGGGATGCCCACCCTTTCCTCATTGCTGTCCAGACACTGTGCTTCACCACGCAGTCAGGCATGATGACAGGCTAACACTGAAACAGGGCCAACCAATCAGGAGCTGGAAACCACACAGCGCCGAGTCAAGCCTTTCTCTCCAGGAGCCGGTGATCTTGGTTATTTCATCACAGAGGTGGAAAGCTAACACTGCCTGAGAATCTCAGTGAGATGCATATTTCATGTTTGTTATGCATTATTTTACTTGCTGGCCAATAATTCCCCTTTCCCTGCAAAAGTAGGGTGTTATCCTTACAATTCCACTGAAATATTAGTGCCTTCCGGTGGACCAATAGGAGGAAAGGTAAAAATGTGACACACATCTCGTCATCTTAAGATCATGTAAACAACAACAAATAACTTTTGAAAAATAACGTCATCAAGAAACAAGTTTGCTTCATGAGGGTTAATTTCAGTAATTCTTAGATAATGCATAATTTTTCCAAAAGAAATTTAATAGGAAATAAGACAGCCCACATCAAGTGCCTGAAGACTTCTAGAACATGAACATGCTTGTAGGTGTTAGTGATTATTATGACATTTGCAACCCCACAATGGGATTTGCTTTTACTTACTCATTTTCAAAATGTGTGTGCAGTTCTGGGCATCTAACCCAGAGACTCGTGGACTCTGGTCATCTGCCATAGAGCTGTCCCTCCAGGGGACGATTATTTTTTAAATAAATAAACAAAGGTAATATGGTTTGCTAGTGGGCAAGGACATTTCAATCATGGAAAACTCTAGAAGAGAAGACAAGGGATGTAGGAAGAAGCCAGAAAGAGGAGAGAGTGGGAGGGGGGTGTATAACTATATTTGAATCAGTGGCACAAACAGATAGGAAATTGTAAGACAAAGGAAGTAAGAATAGAAGTTATGAAATATTTTAAAGGAGCAGAGAACTGAGTGAGATTCACATTATTCACAGTAATCAAATAGATAAAGCAACTCAGCTCTAATGCCACTAACTTGGTGTTAAAATTAAATTATCAACTGCTTTCTGATGTTTTTACCTTTTTTATAGTGTATACCCTGCTGTGTGTGTGTGTGTGTGTGTGTGTGTGTGTGTTTGGAGAGGTCAGAGGTCAACTTTGAGAGTTGTTTCTTGTTCTTGTTCTTTGAGACAAGGTCTCTCATTGGTCTGGAGAGCACTGATTAGGTTAGGCTGGCTGGCCAATGAACGCCAGGGATCCACCTGCCTCTGTCTCAGCCACTGCTGGGATTATAAGCACGCAGCAAGCTTTCACATGAATTCTGGAGGCTGAACTCAAGTGTCCGTGCTTTCACAGCAGGCCTTTACCAACTAAGCTATCTCCCCGGCCTCCCCGTTTCTTAACCTCACCACTGTACATCACTGTGCGTCATCACAACCCAGAGTTACAGGCAGGCTGCACAGAGCAGCCAGGTCAGAATAACTCAAAAACCCCTTTACTCATTCATGCTTTTCCCATTTAAAAATAGTTGGCTCCAAGCCGGGCGTTGGTGGTGCACGCCTTTAATCCCAGCACTCGGGAGGCAGAGTCAGGTGGATCTCTGTGAGTTTGAGACCAGCCTGGTCTACAAGAGCAAGTTCCAGGACAGCCTCCAAAGCCACAGAGAAACCCTGTCTAGAAAAACAAATAGTTGGTTCCAGAAAAAAAATAACATAAAACATTATTGCTCAACATACATTTCAGAACAAGAAAAGCAGTATTAAAAGAGCTAGTTCTTGTGGCAGAAGTCCTTACTAAATTAAGTACACTCATATTCAATGTGGTAAATTAGGTATGTATACCAACAACATGCCATATTACCAAGAACATGCGAATGTAAAAATTGGCATAGGCTTAGTTGCCCACACTGAACTCTCTCTCTGGGATGTCAATGAGAACTATAGCTTATACTTGTCCTGGCTTGGGTTTCTGTCACTGGGGTAAACACCATGACCAAAGTCAAGTTGGGGAGGAGAGGGTTTATTTCAGCTTACAGCTTACAGTTGCATCACGGGGGAGCCAGAGCAGGAACTGAAGTGGGGACCACAGGGGCACACGGCTCTCTGGCTCCAATTCAGTTTTATATGTCCCAGGACCACCTGGCCGAGGGGGCACCGCCCACAACAGGCTGGGCCCTCCCACCTCAATCGTCAATCAAGAATACCCCACAGACCTGCCTGTAGACTAGTCAGCTGGAGACACTTTTCTCAGTTAAAGACCCCCACTTCCCAGATGACCTTAGCTTGTGTCAGGTTGACAAAAACTAACCATTACAATGCAGAACACCAGCTCACCATGACATAAAACCCAACTGTCCAAAACAGTAGCAGAAGTAAACCAAAAAGTTATTAATGAGACTGATTAAAGTATACGCACATTTCAATGCCTCGCAGGGTCCACTAGCCCTCTCGCAACAAAACGCCCCTGCTGTTGTAAGAGTAAAGACTCTTGTATTAACTGGATTTGCTTTAAATGTCGGGTACCTTTTCTTTTTACAGATGAAACTTGTGCATTATTTAACTTCTTCAGAAAAGTCCTGCAAGCACGCCCGTGCTAAGCTAGCAGTGGGCACCTGTACCTGTCACAGACACAGCGCGGTGGATCAGGCCAGTGATTAAAGCAGACAAGTGAAGGGGGGTGGGGACAGCCACAGAGGAAGGAAGCGGGAATGGAGGGATGGCGCCTGGAGGTGAGGCACAACCAAGATTATGTCCTCATTTTAACTGTTAAGGAAGGGATGGTTTCTGGGCTCCTCAACGCTGAGCGACCAGCCTACTGTCAAATCCAGGGAGATCTCAGGACTAAGGAAAACAAGACTTACGCGCACCTCGGTTCTCTGACTCTCATAGGGAGTCAAAAGGCAAAGAGATCTGTAGCTGCAGCTGCCGCTTCCCGCTGCTGATGGGAGGTAGCTTTACCTCATGCCTGGCTTCGCAGGTATAACCCCCCTCACACTGCACGTCAGGAAAAAGAGGCTCGCAGGACATGACAGAACAGGAGCGCAAATACCAGCAGCAGGGAAGGCGGCGTGAGGCAGTGTGGGGCCATCATTCCTCCTCCTCCGCAAGACCCAGGCCTCTGTCTGCGGGCATGCTCAGGTCTAACGTTTACAGAGTACACTCTTCCTAGGGGTCTCTCTTTGCCTTCAGGGAACAATTCCTCCCCACAGCTGATCCCTTCACTGCTACCTTCTTCAAACCACCTGATGCTCACTCCTCTCACTGGTGCTCTCAAATTCCGGAGGCCTGCTCTCCGTCTCCCACGATACCTTGGTCTGGAAGGTGCTGTGTTCTAGACCATCTTTAGCCCTGTCCCCCTTAGAGACAAATAAAATGCCACCTTCTCCTCATTCTGGACAAGTCTCCTTCCTAGGCATTCCTGTGGCTTTTTCAAGTGAACAAAATGTCCATTTCATTCCACTAACCTCTTCTGGCTCTAATATTGTCTTCTCAAGAACACCAGACTCACCTCAAACTGGGCTTGTGCCATTTACTGTCAGTTCTTTCGCCATTAAGATTCATTAGTTATAGGGTTTACCTATTACCGATTTCCTGCAGACCTGTGCATCGTTTTTAAAGTCTCACAAAAGACAGTCCTTGAGCATGGAGACTCCCAGGAGACTCCCAGACACTTGGATAAGAGGTCTCTGAAATAAATGGACTGAGGGGAAGGTTACCTGAAATTAGGAACACATCATCTGCTATGATAATTATTTTTATCTTCAGGCCATCAATGCTGCTACAGACTCCATTAGCAATGTTAAACACTGGGAATTGTTTTAAGTTGGCAAAAAAAAAAAATAAAAGAAAGGAAGATGCGTGCTATTATTCCTGGAAAGAGACCAGCAGGCTGTTGCAGTGTACAGGGGGCGAGGGCTGTGGCACAGACGGACTGAGGCAAACAGAAATGGCGGGCACTACGGTGGGAGCCAGGGACACAGAGACGGGTGTCGGGAGATGCTCAGAATAAGCGGATCTCCAAAGAGCTACAGTGATCTGGACAGAAGTCAGGAAGCAGTCAGACAAGGTGGCGCAGAGGCAGGAGGATCTCTGTGAGTTCGAAGCCATCCTGGTCTACAAATCGCATTCCAGGACAGCCAGGGCAACACAGAGACACCACATGAAAAATAAAAAAATAAAAAAAAAAACAAAGAATGAAAGAAGAACCCCACCGCAGAGCCCGCCAGGGCTCCTGAGCGCCTCAAGGCACCTCCACTGAGGGGCTCTGGTGGGAGGCCACTGGGAGGTTGCTGGTCTTTGTTTCCAGGTGACAGGTCTAAACCATGCTGGATGCTCTGCCCACCACCTCCGGGGCACAGTGTCGTGGAATCAGAAGCACAGCCCGGGCCATGGCTGCAGCCAGGACAGCCTGGGCTGGAGCAGGAGACTTCCGACTGCAGAGCAGATTCTCCCATTAATCAGGATTGCTCCTGGGAGGGAGAACTGGAGCCAGTTAGCTACCGGTCTGGATATGGCTAATAATTTCTCTTAAGTTTCTGGAGGAATTCATGCCAGGGTTTCTTCTAACTCCAAACAGCAAATATTACTCTCCTTTTGTATCTTAAAAAAAATGCTGGCAGCAGTGATAGGAAAAAGAAATGTTACCAGAGCCAAAATGGCGAGCTTAAATAAAATGAGGCACAACTAAGCCCAAACACAAAGGAGGAAAAAAATCCCCAAACTCAAACCCGCCATGTCTTCTCTTCTCAGGAGACAAATACGTGGTTATTAATGGGAGTTATTGTCCCATTTCTACCCCTGGGATTCTCCAGAAACCACGCTTCTGCCTGCTGGCTCAAGGGTGATTACTACTGCTGGCCTTGACTTTGGGATTTTTCTAAAACTTGAGTGGGTTTCAAACTTCGGAATGCTTCCTGATTATCTGTCTGCACCGCCTCCTCATTCTTCTGATTGAGACTTTTTAAATCCCAGCACTGTCACCGTTTCTCTTCATCCTCCATGACGGCTATAAAATGAAGTCCAATTTACTCTTTCATTTTATGAGAGCTACCATTCTTATGCCTTCGTTTCAGTCCATTTTCCTCCCCATACACTATCTACTAATTATCCATGTGCCAGGCACTGCCTCTGCTTCCAGGGTGACAGGTAGGAGAATAAAATATAACAGGGGTATGCCTGGGACACTGCACGCCCAACAAACTTTCTGCACACTCGAGTGCATACTCCGTGTCTCCGTGTCAGAGGATTAAAGGCCAGAATGGAGAGCCCCGCCCCCCAGCAGGCTGCAGAATATGCATGTGCTACCACCCAAATCAGCTCGTGTTTGCCTCAGCTGGCCCTGGCTCTCCAGGGATCACACAGGAGAAGGCCGCTGCTCCTTGACAAAAACTTAAGGATTCTGTGCATGATTTTGGAGGGAAGCTGAGCAAACTGGGATGTGGATTTTGCTGACACCCCTAGTGAAGAATAACAACCACTCTCCCAAGATCTGGGGGAAGAGAGAAACCTGGACCTAAGGAAGTAGTCGGGGTGGGACCAGCCGGCAGAGTGGACAGTGGGAATCGGGAGTCTCGAGGCTGCAATTTCCAGTTCCTTTCAGTGGCCCAGACGCTGTAGGCTCTGATGGCTCACCTTCCAGATATCATCATCAGCACAGGAGGGAAGGGCTGCAGAGACACCTCTCCCTCCAGACACTTCAGCAGATTCCAAAGGGCCGCTGACTGCACTCAGCCTTTGACCCCGTCTCCTCTTGTAGGAACCTCTTGTAGGTGCCGAGGACTCAAGCCAGAAAGTTCGGAGGCTTTCAAACCCAGCTCCTCAGCTGACCCCCGGTGTTCCAACAGAGTATTTCCAGAGGACAGGGATTCCACACCCTCCTCTCAACCTCCTCCATAACACCCTGGCCCGGCTGACAGAATTTTCCTTCAGTGTCGAATGGAATTCCCCTAATAACCCTGCGGCCTCCAGGTAAAATCCATTTTTTTCCAGAGTGGCCAGAGTTGATCTTATAAGCAGTGCTCCCGACTCTCTCCACCTGAAGCCTGCTGCCCTGTC